TTGTTGTCTTTTTCCTGTTCGAGGTGGGTTTGGACAGGTACTGTGTGGCTGCAGTGGCTCACTATCCTTTGCCCAGCCTGGCTCTCGTTGGAGTGAAAGCAAACAGGTGCTGGTGTGCCGGCCCAGGGTTTGATGTTTGGGTGTAAATTTGCCCCATCCCCAGCTTGCTGGTGAGGTGTTGCGCTGGATCGGTGCAGGCAGTCCTGGGCTTCACTGTCAGGGGCTGTCTGAGCGGAGGTGTCCCATGTCCCTGGTGCAGTGTGGCTGCGGAAGGGGAGGGTGGCTTTGAGAGCAAGTGGGTGGTAGGATTTATGTGGCACTTCGAAGAACTGGTAAATGGAAACTTTCCTTTATATGTAGCAGATACTTCAGTGATTTTATTTATGGATGCATTAGTTACTATTTATGAAACTTAATTTCAAACTGCTTTCTGCTGGACTCTGTCCTTCTCACATCTGCTATTCCAAGTAACACCAGCAAGTGCTGATTTTTTGATCTTGCCATCTATTTCTCCTGGTTTCTTATTGTTCTGCCACGTGTTGCATGGTTCAATTCAGCCTGCAAATATGAAAATCAATATAGGAATTATTTGTGTTAGATTTTAACAAATATGTCTATCTAAACTCAAAAACTTGATTTTAGAATGCTGCTAATGGTATTAAACTGAAGGCATAAATTAAACCGTATTAAACCGACTTGATAATAGAGAGAAGCAGATATAAGGCTTTTGCTCCAGTTCCCTGTGATGTTTGTCATAAACAGGTGGGATTATGGATTCAGTGGAAATCTGTAATGAGGATGCTCCCTGGCTGGAAAGGCTTCCGTACTTCACTGTTAAATTGGAATGATATTGAACTGAGCTCTATAAGGTCTGTTCCGAATCCACTATTTGTAAATATTCTGTCATCCATGTCACTGCCAAAGCTTAGGGCAAATACTGTTTTTGCAGAAGGTGCCAAGCTGGGAGGAGGTGCAAGCATCTGAGAAAGCAAAATTCAGGCCTTTCATGTCGATTTGGAGAAATGAGGTGAAATAAGATGCAGTTCGAAATGAAAGCAACAAAAGTAGAAATAATTCCTACGCTAAGGTAGAAATAACCAACTGTGCAAATAAAAGATGAGGAAGAGTTCAAGGGATGATTCTGAGGTTAAAATGCACCTCAGGAGTCTAAGTATCATCAATTATGAAAAGAGCAAATAGTGTACTGGAAAGTACAAATTGAACAGAGCCTGCAAGGGCTGAGAATTGACTGATCTTCTCTGAGGCTCTACTAGTGCTGAGAAGTATTATGGGCAGATAATACTACTGTTGTAGTAGCATTAGGTGCCTCACTGTAGACTGCAATTTGAAAAGCACTTCAGAGAGGGCAGTGAAAATTATTTGAGTTGTAGGAGAAAAGATTGGAGGTATTACATACGTGGTAGAATAAGGGAGGGGAAAGACTAAAGGGAGACCGAATCTGAGTCTCGAGGTATGGTAACAGGTGTCTGTGCATGGTTGTGCACATGAAGGAGGATGGTAGTGCTCTTGCGTTTCAAATCCACCATGGACAGAACTGGAAATGGCGCTCTTAAATGCCAGCAAAGGAGCTGTGGGTGAGAAAGCACTGCAAGGTACACTGTAGAATGGATTGTATAGGGCCTCTGTAAGTTGTGTATTGTTGATGGGTCAGACTAGGTTGGTATTTGTGAAGATACTCACATTTAGTTGATGCTTCTACAGAGGCAGACTATGCAGCTTCTTGAAGGTCTTCCTAGTCTATTCATACATGTTCTTCTGCTAAGGATGTTAGTGCCATCTACTGCCTTGGCATATGTAGGAATGTGTACACTAAGGCAGTAGACTAAATCTACTCAGATCACTCTGCAATCTGTGATGGTTTGCAGTAGTTCAAAATGATCTTTAAAAAAAGCCCTAAAGTGGTGGAGTGATTAACAGAAGAAAATAATGGTCTTTGCAGGTCGTATAAATGCCAAGACGAAATGACACGTTTTCTGAGTAGAAGGCACACTTATAAATATTGCCTATTCCAATTACTCTTTTTTTGCAGCTGAGCTGTAGGAAAGTTAAATGTCATGATTGACTGCTCTGATGGTAGTAAGTGCCAGAGTTAGAATGGGTCACGGTAAGTGCTCATTGCGGTGTTGAATTGTACATTAGTATTTCCCCACCAACTGGCTTCTGCATTGTTCAAGAGCATAGATGGATGATGTTCAAGAATAAGGCAATTATTCAACCTTTAATTTTATTTTTGAGCATTCTTGGGTCCAGGCCTCATTTATGACATGGTGTAGAATTGCGGAAGTGTTGTTTGGGAGAGATATCTAGAGACTGCGTTCCCTAACTCCTATGCAAAGGCAATTCTTGATCAAATCAGCTGTCACTTTGCTGAATGCTGAAAACCTCCAAGGATGAAGATCCCACCACCCGTGGTAACCTGTTTCAGTGTAGCTGCACCTTCCTAGTGAAAAAGACTTCCCTGATGCCTGTTGTGATGCTCTTCTGCCTTCCTCTGGCATCAGTGGGTCCAGTGTTAGAGCATCTGCATTATGGTCATTGCTGCATTTGCCTTTGTAACTGCTTGCATTAATGGTATTGCTTTTTCACCTACAAGGACTGGAGGAACTGCAGTTATGAACGTTTGCTGTTTCGGCAGTGGCATTTTAATGAATCTGAGAGGTGTGGGAATTTAGCGTTTAAAATTATGACACACAAGTAATTTTCACAACAGCTGGAACAGGCCATTCCATACGGGTGAGCGTGGCTATTACTGTAGGTTTTTTTAGCCTTGGAAATTGAGTTCAAAAGTGTTTTACTCAGGAGATGTGGTGAATCAATGAAAGATTTGGAACTAATATTTAAGGATTACTGATTCTCCTGTGGCGAGTTGACCATGGCTGCCTACCAGGTGCTCACCAAGCTGCTCCATCACTTCCCCTCCTCGACAGGATAAGGGGAGAAAATATGACAAAAAGCTCATGGGTCAAGATAAGGAGAGAGGGATCACTTACCAATTACCGTCACAGACAAAACAGACTCGACTTGGAGAAATTATTTCAATTTGTTGCCAGTCAATAACAGAGTAGATTAATGAGACATAAGAACAAATGTAAAAACACTTTTCCCCACCTCTCCCTTTTCCTGAGTGAGGCTCAGCTTCGCTTCCGGCTTCTCTACCTTCTCCCTGCAAGTGACAGTGTGGAGCAGGGAACTGAGGTTCTGGTCAGTTCCTAATGATTAGTCTCTGCTGCTCCTTCTTCCTCACGGTCTTCTACTCCAGCATGGGGTCTCTCCCATGGGAAATAGTCCTTCATGAACTTCTCCAATGTGGGTCTTTCCCACAGGCTACAGTCCTTCACAAACCGCTCCAGCATGGGTCCTTTCTACGGGGTGCAGTCTTTCAGGAATTCACTGCTCCCACCTGGATCCTCTTTGGGGTCACAGGTCCTGCCTGAAGACCTGCTTCAGCATGGTCTCCTTTCCGTGGGGCCACGGGTCCTGCCAGGACCTCGACAGGATCACAGCCTCCTTTGGATGCATCCTTCTGCTTCGGCATGGGGTTGTCCACAGGCTGCAGGTGGATATCTACTCTATTGTGGACTTACATGGGCTGCAGAGGGACAGCCTGCCTCATGATGGTCTTCACCATGGGCTGCGGTGGAATCTCTGCTCCTGTGCCTGGAGCACCTCCTCCCCCTCCCACCTCACTGACCTTGGTGTCTGCAGAGTCATTTCTCTCCCATGTTCTCAGTCATCTCTCCCAGCTGCTGTTGCACAGTGTGTTTTTTACCCTTTCTTAAGTATGTTGTCACAGACGCACCATCAGCATTGCTGGTGGGCTCAGGTTTGGCCAGCGGTGAGTCTGTCTTGGAGCTGGTTGGCACTGGCTTGGTCTGACATGGGGGCAGCTTCTGGCATCTTCTGACAAAAGCCACCCCTGCAGCCTCCCCCTGCTACCAAAACTTTGCCACATAAGCCCAATACATCCCTACTCTTCCAAAATATACTATTTCATAGATTTTGTAGTTTTGTTTCGGTTTAAAACATCACAACCTTAGTTTGCAGAAAATTAACTGTATTCAGTTAATGGCTACTTCCTAGAAGCATTTTGTTCAATTTGATTTATCGGTCTGTTGAAAAGCTCCTGAATGGATGTAATTTCTCTTGAGTCACCTTATGACTAAATGATAGTATGTAGCTTCTTTCTTTCCCTGTAGCCTCCAGCTGAAGTCTTATCCTTTTTCTTGAGGTAGTGCAAGTAATTTCACACAAATACAATGCGCTCTTTCAAAGTGTGAGAAAATGCAATCTGTGATTTCTTTTTTCTTAGCCCCCATGCCTCCACTCGGTAGCCCGTATGAGGGAAACTCTGAGAGATTATTTTTATCATTAAAATGTATTCAGTTAAGTTTCCAGTCGTAATACTGACAAGCTTCTCTACTTTCATTATAGCCTTCGAACTGTCATCAGACTTGTGCTAAAAGATGTCATAAACAAAATAAACTGACTACACAATGAAACTTTGAAAATATATGTATGTACGGTATTGAAAGCAAGTGGAAGTCTGACTATTTTCTTAAGGTTAATTTATCCTGTTTTTTTGTCAGTTCCAAGGGTTGTGGATTTAAAAATGAATCTGAGGAATGTAATTTTGCTGTTGGTACTTTTTTTGTGTGTTTTTTAACAGTGCTTTAGATAGTATGCTCTTCCACCCTCCTTCAGTGTTCAGCAGTTTCCATGTACATTGACATTGACTTGTGTCTCCCACCTAGTAAAATCTTGATTATCTATTGATGACTGTACTATATGTTCAGTGTCAGCTGTTCATTTGAATTTAGAAACATACCAAAATCAGGCTTGAAAAACCTTTCTCCTATTTTGACTTAATGTAACATAAATCTGTTACCTGGCAGAAGCATTGCAGACTCTTTCTCATTCTGCTGCTTTTCTGAAAGGGTCTTTGCTGCCATGGAAAACGTTGTCTTTATTTTGTTTTTCAGATGACTACTTTGGGCAACCTGACACCCTCAAGCACTGTGTTTTTCTGTTGTGATATGCAAGAGCGATTCCGGCCTGCCATCAAGTACTTCGGTGATATCATCAGTGTGGGCCAACGACTGGTATGGTTTTTGCTTTTTTTTTCTCGTAGTTAGTTTTGATCACACATGTAAATTAGTGTTTTATACACAGCCAGTTTACTGGTTGTTCAGTTTTAGATAATGACAATGTCTTTGCTATTATCGTTCTTTAATAATTTCTTTTCTTGTATGCTTTCCTCCTTGCAGCTCCAAGGTGCACGGCTCTTAGGAATTCCAGTTATTGTAACTGAACAGTATCCCAAAGGTCTTGGCAACACTGTGCAAGAAATTGATTTAACAGGAGCTAAACTTGTGCTTCCCAAAACAAAATTTTCAATGGTGTTGCCAGAAGTCGAAGCAGCATTAGCAGAGATCCCCGGAGTCCGCAGCGTTGTCCTGTTTGGAGTGGAAGTACGTGCCTTGCCATTCTTGTACTGTTTTATGGTAACATCTGTTGGCCAGCCATAGTATTAAGTGCTGCTTCCTATAATTAAAAAATAAGTCAATTTATATTGCTTAGAGCTCGGATATCCTCTACAGATTAAATTATTCTTGTTTTATTTGTCTCTCCTATTATCTCAAAATAGAATTTGAAATGAGATATTTGTAAACTACAGGCTCTTGTCTCAAGCTTGGCTGGCATTTAAAACCCACATTGAGTTCTCTGGTAATGTCAGGGGTAGAAAAATACATTTGAACCCTAATTAATTATGTACTTTAATTTGGCGTTGTGCTACTCGTGTTTTATAATAGTGGTTTGTTGGTGGGTTTTCTGCCTTTGATCTCTCCCCTGTAGACTCATGTGTGCATCCAGCAAACAGCGTTGGAATTAATTGGCAGAGGTCTGGAAGTTCATATTGTAGCTGATGCCACCTCATCAAGAAGTATGATGGACAGAATGTTTGCTCTTGAGGTAAGTTTCTTAGTCAAGGCTTTCTCCACCTTGGGTCTGTATGTTCATTTCCCTGCTTATTGTAAGCTAACAAGTAATTTCTAAGGGTGGTAAGCGGTGGACAAATGTAGACTTGAGGAGAGGCAAATGCTCTGATTCTCAGAATAGCTTCCAGGATAAAGAAGAATTGCTACCTTATTTTTCCTCCCTAAATTATGATGTGATATGTGGAACCCAGTTTGGAGCACTTGGATTTTAAAAGTGGTTGTGTCGTACAATCTAGGTTACTCTGCATAACCATTAGCATTTGAGGATATGTTCTTATGGAGTGTTATCTGGACAGCAGAGTAGAAGTGCTACAGAGCTTTTGATTTTGTTGTTCCAAACAGTATTTGTTCTGCTGTTGGAATTCCTTGAAGGGCAGTGGAATATAGCTAGTGATCCTGTTCAAAGCTTCTTCTATGTCAGTCCCTCCCTCTGTTCTTCCTCATCAGTGCAAATTAAAGCTTAATCTCAAGACTCTGTGATTATTGTAAAGACTTCCCTGCCCCCCAGGAGCTTAGCCTAACTAAACATTGAGAAAGTGGAGATAAATGTAACAAGCAGATTTAAAAGCATGTACAACTTTGTGGTAGCAAATTTGTGCCAATGATTTTTTTGTGAGTGTAATCTAACTTGCCTATAGGCATCACTGTTGGAAATCAGAAACTGACATATATGTCAAGTATTGCATTTTCCCCTCTGGCCCTAAGAATTATTTGGAAATTGAAACTGACTACAGCATTTTATACTTTTTTCATCGATCTGGAGAAGACTTAATTTCTTCTGTTTCTTATGAATAAGACAATTAAAGGTTAAAGGGAAATCACCAGCAAATAGCGTTTGATGAAACCCATGACTTTGATTAAGTGGAAGCTTAATGTCATCTGTCACGTAAAGCATAGTGACACACACAGAGTGCAGGAATGACTGAAATACTGGACTTCCCAAGCCAATGTGGTGCAGCAGCAGTAGTAGACAAAACAAATGTAGAAAATCTGAAATTTGTTTGCCTTATTCTGTACGTCTTTGTACATTTGTTTATCATTTGTGCTCTGTCTGCAAACGTAGAAGTCCGTTCAGTGTTACAGAGGTTAAAGCAGTGGCTAGCTAGCTTTGCGTTTCTTTCTGGTCAAAAAGGTAGCAATCATCTTAAAAGCATGGTTAGTTGCAAAGCTGTAATCCAGGAAAATTGGTCAGTTTTAGGTAACTTTTTAGTATGTCTTTGCAGTTTTTTCTCTCCAAGCATGAAGAAAATATTTTGCTGTGTTCCCTTAAGTAGCCATTATTCAAATATGACTCAGGGAATGTTTGCTGGCTTGCTGTGGTGAGCCAGCCAGTTACATGGCAGTAACTCTTACTCCACTGTGGCTGCACGTGCCAACATGTTCTCCTTTTTGTGCTGTAGGGCCTCTCTTAAAAATGCTACTGAGGCCTATGGGCAAGAGGTGTACATGCTGGGGAGCAGGAGACCAGGAGAAGAGGACACAGATACTGGGCATGTCAGTAATCCTGATAGACCATGGTGATATGTTTTTTAGGGAAGCTGGTAAAATACCAAACCCTTGGGTAATCCTGCTTTAGTCTCACTGTACAGGTGACAGTTCCTAGTCATGCTCTTTTATTTAGTGAGTCTGACATTTTCTTGCGCAAACTTGCTCCATACCTGGTGACCTGAGGTGAGGTTCGTTGATCCAGCTTCCCTGGATCCTTCCCCTTACCATTCTGGGAAGATGGGTGTAACATTCACCTTTTCCCAATAACACAGCCACTCTCTGTTCACAGTGACCTTTTAGGGACGATAAAGAGTGACCTTGCAGTGATAACAACAAGCTTCCTTATCAATCTCAAATAAATCACTTCTGGTCTCACTCACCCCTTCAGTTTCCCTCACATAACATGTGTTTTGATGGTGCTGGTGACGAACATGCAAATATCTGAACTGCACTAGGAAGTGCAGTTTGAATTAATTGATAGCCAAAGCTTACATGTCTGCCTGAATGACCCTAAAGAGTGATTGTTGCTGCTTCTCTTGTGCGCTTAAAAACGACAGCAGGCAAAAACTTGCGATTAAAAAAAACCCCCCAAAAAACAGAAACCAAAACCCTCAGAATTTCCATTGATAAAATAATTCAACCCAATTGGCCAAGAATGTGCCTGTTTCTAATCTCTGCCCTGTCTGATGAAGATGCTTTGTGTCACTGCCTGGTCTTGGATTGAGCCATCTCATTCTGTTCCTGCTGGATTTCTTTTCTTTTCTCCTTGTTCCTGTGGTGGTGTGGATGCAACACACGCTTGCTGCTTTACTTCATCTGAAAGACTATGTTCTAAGAAAACTTTTCCTTTCCTTGAAAATCACCCAGTGTGCTTAGTATGTGTATCTCTTCATTTGTACTAATCTCAAACTACATAAATTATATTTAGTCCTAGAAGTAGAGCATAAGCCAATGCCAGCCTCTTTGATGTGTTATATTTTACTTCTAAACAGAAGACATTCTCTTTTTTCGATCAACATTTCTCAGAAGGCAAGGTTCTTTAACAGTCTGTTGTTTTTTTTTCTTCATCCATACTAGTTAAAAGCAAAAGCTTTGTGTTCCTGGAGAAGTACATCTTGAAAACACTGCAGTAATATTTCATTTTGATTTTCCTACATTTCCTCTTTTGCATGTGTATGTGGCCTAAACAAATGTGTTTTACAGAGTAGGAGAGCTGGTGAAGCAATCCGCGTTGTTTCAACTTAAGAATATCGCAAGGGTGGCTGCCATTATGGCAAGCAGGAAGCACTGACTTGAGTAGATATATCCTAGTTAGCTTGTTGTTACATAGACTGTAGTTACGTATACTTCACTGGTCCCCTAAAATTAATAACTTTCCCCCATCAATTGCTTTGTAATTGAACAACTAACCAGCAGTGATCTGTGTCTGCTCTGGAAAGTTTGTAGATTCTCTTTCCTTTAGTAATTACAACTGAAACCTGTCTGAAGGTGTACAGACCTGCATTTTCTGCTTCTTGCCCTCCCTTGGCTCATTCAGGACCTCATTAGATTTGTTGTAGCATGCAGCAGCGTGGAGCATGACAGAAGGAAAGCTGGATTCTTGAAGAGTTTTACAGCCAAAGCATCTGTGCAATTGCTGGGAAGCTGATGCGGGGCAAGGAGTGGTCAGACTTTACTTAAAGATAACTTTGCTACGTAGGCAACAACCACAGTCTTAAAAGTTCCAAAACTATGCAATAAGCCCTGTGGCTTGGGCTACATGAAGCATTGCTCTGCTTAGTTGCAGTCTTACAAATCTAGCAGACCTTTTCCAGTTTTGCTTTCTATAGAGTGATGCTTTTTATTCTGTAGCCTGTGAGGACTAACTTGGGAGTTACTGAGGCTGTAATGAGATGTTGGTTAAAAGGAGCTGTTGTTGTGCCAGTATGATTTATAAGGTCTGTAGAAGATCTTTTCGTTCTCTCTCCTGAGATTATTAGTACTAGCCTGCTGTGTAGTCCAAAGACAGAAGTACTAGTACATAACGAGCCCCAAAAGAGAAATTGTTACAATTAAGTTTCTTGCTGAATGCCTTGGGCTTGGACCTCGCTATTTACTTTTTCCCCAGGCCTTTCAAATCTGCATGAGAGTGAAGGAAGCTATCCTCGGGACCATGCGAGGGGAAAGCGTTGTTACTATAAGAGGGGGTGGGTCTTCTGCATGTTAAATCTGACATGGGGAAAGAATCCAGTCCAAGTAGGAAGCCTTATTGGTAATCCAGGGCAGCCTTTTTCCTCAGTAAAGTCTAAAAACAGTCACTTTCCATCCTAGCTTTATAAATGGCACTGCTAAGAGATGCTGGAATGGAATTGGCAATACTTTTGTTAATAGGAGACGGTTTTAAAAATGCCATCCATCTTTTTTACAAAGTGTGTACTCATTCACATTTGCGAGTGTCTCACGTTTTCATATCTACTCTTTTCTCTTTCAGCGTCTTGCTCGTACTGGAATTATAGTTACTACTAGCGAAGCTATATTGTTACAGCTGGTAGCTGATAAAGAACACCCAAAATTCAAAGAAATCCAAAATCTCATTAAGGCAAGCGCCCCTGAGTCAGGGCTCCTTTCCAAAGTTTAAAGAGGATGTGGAGGAAGCAGACCTCATTGTCATCCTTGAGGAGGAAGGAAAGCTGTAAGCGCGCATGTACACCTTCTTTCACTCAAAGTTCGGTAGAAGTGTAAAACTAAAAATTGACATACTCGTGCTTGCCTTAGCAAAATTGTCTGGTTATACATCTGGGTGCCAGTATGTTCTGTTTAGTTACAACTGTCAGAGGCTTTGGGTACTGTAAGACCCTTTTGTTGTCAAATTTCCTTGTTTATTTAAAAATAAACATTTTTAATGTTTATTAACAGAGAAGAATTAACAGAGGTGCCTGCTCGTCTACACTATACACTGATTGTAACAACTCCAAAAAGTGCATATTTCTGTGACACCTCTTGATTGTGCACTTTGTAAAAGCGTTCTGTGATATTCTGTTTTACTTTTGTGTTAAGAGAAGATAATTGCGTGTTGGATAAATGTGATGTGATACGCTTTAATGTTCTATGTAAATGAAGTATTTTAATAGGCCATAAGTTAAAACCAAGTAAGATACATGAACTACACGTGCCCTTTTGTTCTCTAGGGTAAAATTTAAGTGCTTTGCTTCATAGATCAAGCAGCAGCTGATGTTTGATTGCTCTAGGTAGCTCAAGCCTTCATCATGGCTTTCAATTATTCTGAAATTGACTGCCCAACCTGTGCTTCACTGAAGTGTACACAAACAGAAAACTGTCATGTAGTGAGTTCTTTATAAACAACTGGTATAAAATCTTTCAGAACTAGTAGAGGGTCACCAAAACTTTAAATAAATTGGCAATGCTAAGAATGTTAAAGAACAAAAGCTCTTCAGCTTTCAGTGTTGGATCTACTACTATATTTAGATTTATTTGGGGTTTTTTACCCCAGTTTTAGTTAAAATGAGTAATTCCATCTGATTTTCTTATTTGGCCAAGCAAGCTCTGAAAGAAACCTCAGCTTCTCTAGGTTTTTTGTGCTTTTTTTGTGGGCTGCAGTTGGGTGGAGTTTGAATGGAATTTGGCCTAAAAGCATTCTTCAGAAAAATTACATCTTTAACTTAATTATATATATTTTTCTATGTAGAACCAAACTTTTAACATATGATTGTTCATAAAGGCACTTCCTTCATGTTCTGGGGATTTAAACAATGTTGTATAAAGTTTACAGTGTGACTGAGACATTTATTTTTTTAAAAGAGTACTAGAAGATGTCATACTGAACACTGATCTTTTTGGGTAGAAAACCAATTAGAGTACGTGTATTGTTATAAATGGCTAATTTTCCCCACAAGATGGCTCTAAAAGAATTGTTCTGGAGAGTTGTAACCTTTATATGTTCAAAACAAATAAAATGTTAACATTTACTGTCTCTCTTATGCTTGTGATATTTATTGAAGAGCAAATCCTGAAAGCTGTGTTTGCCATGGACCTTATTCTGTTTTGTGCAGCTGTGAAATTTCTATAGATGTCATGGGAATTTTGTGTAAAGATCAAGGGTGGATAATGTCTAATAATTCTTGTCTTCTGCGTCTAGTTACAGTGTTATTTAGTGCTCCAAACTATGAGGAATGAATGTTATGCTTGAAGTTGGAGGCAGGGAGGTGAGGCGAGTTGAGTTGAAGAACCGTTGTCCTATATCACTGACCTACTTTTTACCTTCTTTTCTGGTATGTTAATCACGTTGCCTAGCAGTATAAAGTCTACTTATATAAATCAACAGCTGTGCACAAAAATACTATAAACTTCTTATGAAATAATGGTTTTATTGCTTTCTTACCGTATGTGTTGATGGTGCCTAGAGTTAGTAATTGAAGGAAAAATTATAACAGTTTTTTTAATACGTGTTTATTTTTTGAACAATATAAATTTTCTCAATTACAAATACATGAGTTTTTAAAAGATAATTGTATTTGTTACTAAAAATTCACCATTTTTATACAAACGTAAGTTGGAGGACAGATGTCACACTTCCTTTGCACACAGTCCTTTCCTAACTAAGATTTTTACCACAAGAGGAATCACTTGGTAGCAAGATGGCACTAAAGAAGAATCTATAAAATACATTGATATTCTCTATCATGGTTTTACTATTATTTATTTTTGCTATTTGCATAAGCTTCAGTGGCAAACTAGATTTTTGTCGAGGTCCTCAGTTTGTGTTTTTTTCCCATAAGATTAAAAAAAATTAAAACACAGAAATACTCATGGTTATGCTCTAAAACTGAGCTCTTAGATGTGAATTTAGGCACAGAATGATCGAAGTCTTTCTCCTTCATTAGATGGGTACATTCATCAGCATCACATGGATCATTCAGATGAGATTCTAAAAGTGTTTATTTAAAAATAATAGAGAAAGTGTTGCCATATTTCTCTTACATAAAGTCGATTTATTCACAGGAGAGAATTTCCTTTGCTTCTTCATGCCTTAACTGATCTGTGTTTTCTGTTCTTTCTGACAAGCGGGTGTCCCCATGCAGTAGAACAGCAGAACTCAGCTGTGTGGCAAGAGGTGTGCGGGTTGTTGCATTATCTAGTATAGGTATTGTTTTGGCCTGCAAGATTATGAAACAAATTAATGGAATAACACTCAGGAGAATTGCTCAGGGGTGTACTCAGGTGATTGTGAAGAAGCCTAATGCATCACTGTCTATAAGTGCCAAGCTGAACTTTATTTGAAGGCTTCACCACAGCTCAGCAACATGATTTCCACCTGCTCTAGGTGGCTTCAGGGTAGTTTCTCTTTCCTTGGGGAAACAGAAAGACAGTCCTTGGTGGAGAAGGCTGGTTTATTTTCCTCAGTAGGTGTCCTGTGTCTGTACAAAGTTGCTGATGTGTTGTGAGCCTCACTTGAGTAGCTGGTGTATAAATTCTACGCTAAATATAGTAATAGGCATGGGTGTGATTACTTTTTTTCTGCTAAACCCTGACAAAGAGGAGTGCTTTTTTTCTTGTTGGGACAGTTTAGGTTTTGAGTTTAAAATACGATCCTGTCTATTTACAGAACCATGGTCCTTTTATTATTTTTCCACCTGTATGATAATTGTTTTATGAACTAAACCAAGTAAGATCTCCAGTACCTTTTGCAAAATCTGAAAACAGAGAATGAGTAAAAAATCAGCAGTTGCTAGCCAATGTTTTCTATTATGGTCATCACAAACAGCTGGAGAAATGATGCCATGGGACTGCTCCACCATCATTTCTGCCTGACAGTAGTTCTCAGGAAAATGTGCTCTTAAATAAATCATGCTGCTTATTGAATATATTTCCTACAAGATGTCAAGGTGATTCCCTCTCCCTCTCTCCCCCCACCCCCATATTTACCATGTTACCTAAACAATGACATGTCTTTCAGGAGGGAAGAATTAAAATTAATCTTCTCTTTTTGATGTAAGCACTTTTTTCTTTTAGAAGCCTCATAGATTTTTTTGGTCAAGATTTTTGTTGAACTGAAACTCTTTTAGTGCTACAGATTTGTTCTCTTATGTAAGAGATAAATGTTCAATGCTTTGTTGCTTTGAAAAGTTTGTTTCAATTAAGCATGAAGTAATAGCTGGAGCTGTGGTGCCCTGAAGAAAGGCAAATGATATTAAGGAGGATAAAGGCTTTTACTTTGGTAAGTGATGATGCTGTCTAGTACTGTTATGTGGTTCACTTGTTATTCTTCAGAGTATTTTCTACAATATTAAGTACTATGGCAGAGACAGAAGATGTCAGTGATTTGTAGAATCTGTTGGTTTTTTTTTTCTTCTGGATAAATTAGAGATAAACTATACTAGATGGGTATAACAGATGTCCTTCAGATAGATTTAGAACATCTGCTCTGGAAATGGGCTATGGCAGGAAATCCTTGGGGAAAAAAAAAAGTTCCGTTTTGATTGTCCAGTGCTGGTTTCTTCTTCATAGTTTCTGAAATGCAGTACTTCTATGGAGCTGTTGTTAGACCTTTCTGTAATCTCAAGAAGTGCTTCTAGTACGTCAGAGGTTGCAATAGATAGTATGCTGTTGCATCTCTTAGGACAGAACTATATATATAAAGATAAAGTGTGAGGTCTGGTCTTTTATTACTCATTTGAATTGCATAGTTTAGTTTTTCATATGAGATAAAAGAATACTTGCCTAGGACTGGTGTGAATAGGAGGAATTTATCAAATATTAGCATGCTTAGTTCAGCTTAATAGACTTACTAAAACCACCAGGGTTGGCAGCTCTCCTGTTACTGACAGCATTAGGCTTTGCTTTAATGAAACCCTTTTATCTGCTCAAGAGGGAAGACTGAGCGAACAAATGAAGAGAGCAGTTAATAGAGAATAGATGGTGAAGTGCAAAGGCAAAATGGGAAAGAAAATTTGTTTTCTAATTATGACTGATTTTTTTTTTTTTTTTTCCCCTGGGGATGTTAAGCTGGAACAAATATTAACGTAGCACTTGCTAAAGGTGTGTAACTCTGAGTGTCACAAAATTTGCCAACTGGAACAGTAAATATTCTGCTACCAAAATAAAAAAAGAAGTTGAAGGTGTTGGAGCAAAGGCTGAAGATCACTGTGTACTCAGCGCTGACATGCCCACGGCAGGTATGAACTGTTACCTGCACTGTAGTTTCAAGAGCAGGTATACGTACAACTGAAACTTGGACAAATGAAAAGCTTTCTGAAAACAAAGGTAGCTCATTGTAATTGGAATGATTTTACCTGTCTAGGACAGGATTTCTACAGCTAAAAGATCTTTGTATACCTGAAACGAAGCCAGGTAGAACTACATTGGTGCCACTCATCTTGCACCACAGGGAGGGGACTAGATGGTTAGATTGAGCCAAAATCCATTAGAGGTGGCCTCTTGCTGTGCTGCCACTGGGAAGAAGACATTTGTAATTAATCCAAATGAGAATATTTGAACTCTTTTTTTGTTTGTTTATGAAAGATTTGCCAGTTTAGGTTCAAAAAGCTCTTGGTAAAACCCTAGTTCAGCTGAACTCTTGAGACTGGATTCTAAAATATCATTCAGGCTTCTGGAAAACCAAAGCAGGTGTTTGGCTACCACATTGTTTCCGTAGTTCGTAGGAGCTTATTAAAATCAAGTGTAATGCTGCCGTTATTTTGAAGTTCCAATATGTACCTGTTGGTATTATTTGTGTCCCAAGAAAACATGTTAGACATTCTGGCCTTCAGATTATGATCCAGAATTTAAAGATTTCTTTAGGTATTTTAGTAATTTCAATGGGATTTAAATTGAGGCCTTGCA